AAAAACAGAGTTTTTGTGTAAAAACAGAGTTTTTGTGTAAAAACAGAGTTTTTGTGTAAAAACTATGTTTTTGTGTACAAATTAAATTTTTGAGTAAAAACTTAGTTTTTGTGTTAAAACTGAGTTTTTGTGTAAAAAAAACTTGTGTGAAATCAGAGTTTTTGTGTAAAAATCTAGTTATTACGTAAAACTATATTTTTGTGTAAAAACTAAGTTTCTGTGTGAAAACTATCTTTTCACAAGAAGGACAAAAATCTCTACGTAAACCTTGCATCCTGGGCAAGAAGAGACCGATGACAGACTAAGTTAAGTACTTAGGTGTAATCCTTGACCGGAAATTAAAATGGAGACACCACATAGAGGATATGATCAACAAGGCACATCGGTGCTGGGCGATATGTTGGAGAACTAAAGGCATGAAATGGGGTCTTAGTCCTACTATGACAAATTGGCTTTATAAAAGTGTAAATAGACCTATTCTAGCTTATGCTTCAATAATCTGGTGGACTGGACAAAAAGTGTAATATCAAACTACTACAGGGAGTACAGCGTACATGCTGCTTGGTTATAAGTGGTGCCATATGTATTACTTCAATCAAGGCTCTGAAAACGTTGATTGTTATTCTACCCATTGAAACATATTTATGATATGAGGCGGCACATACAGCCGAACGACTGTTTACTTTAGGCGAACTGGCCAAAAGCGGTTTTAGAACACGTCATCAATGTATACTGGATACATTGGAAGGTTATACACAATTATCGGACCCTTAGACAGCTAGAAGGCAATTAAAGCGATATCAGGCGATAGAATGTAAGAAAGCTTTAACTTAATACTCTCCCAGAGGTAAGGTTTACATCATATGGGTACCAGGTCACTCGAGAGTAGTCGGCAACGAAAGGGCGAATGTAATAGCTTTAAAGGGAAGGGAGCTCGAGGCAGTTAACTTCACAAACGCCAAACCATTCGACGCAACAAAAGCTGAATTAAAAATATCAGTACGAGAATCCCTTAAGGCCACTCGGGAGTATTCGGCAACGAAAGGGCAAATGTAATAGCTTTAAAGGGAAGGGAGCTCGAGGCAGTTAACTTGACAAACGACGCAACAAAAGCTAAATTAAAAATATGAGTACGAGGATCCCATAAGACCTCTTGGAATAATGAAACGGTGTGTAGAACCACAAAGATCCTATGGGGTGATCCTGATGAGGGCAAGACGAGAAATTTCCTCAAAATGAGCAAGTCTGAAGTTAGTATGATGGACACACAGGATTACGGGCATATCTATGCAAAATTGGACGCGCGGATTCAGACGAATATAGAGCATGTGAAGAGGACAGTGAAATTCTGGAGCAGATGCATAGATCTTGTAGAATTGGTATCAAAAAGAGCGAATTGGCTCTGAGGTTAGATTTGAAAAACAACTGTTTTTATATCACCAAATAAGTGTATATAAAATCTGTTCTAGTGGACCCAATATGAAAGATGTTTAAATATCTTTTAATGTACACAATGACCCAAATCGAAATTTAAAAGATCCAAAATTTGCCCACGTATATAAAAAAAAACGTTAATCGTGATGACGTTAATCGAGGGATTACTGTAATTGAAAGTTATTCATAGAAATATTCACAAATTGAATAAATCATCCTCACAATACATATTCATTCATATTATTTATTAATTACCGTATTTGTGATATGTTTTGTTTTAAATTAATATTTCCCCGAATCCTTTTTTCCAGCAAAAAAAAAAAAAACTTTCAACAATTCAGAGAAGTGTTGTCAACACGTGTGGCCTTCACCACCAAGAAAGTAAACAAAGGTATGAATGAAATTTAAACCTTAATTAATCTTCTCGTTTTTTTTTAAAAATTATTTAAATTTTCACTTTCTTTTAAGACATTTACTTTACAAATGTGTATGTATTGTATGCTTTAAGGCATCCAACACCTCCTACTATTTACTTTTTAAAACAGCAACCTTCGAAACTTGAAATTACTTAAAGTTCTTCTCATGTTAACCCCTTGGGGCACTCAAAATAAGATTTATTTCGCTTACGTGGTTTAAACACTCTATAGAGTTTGTTGTCAAAAGGGTTAAATGTGCATTTTAAGTGTCGGAATATCGTGATGATAATGAATATGAACGAGAATGTAGTGGATTGTTTTTTTGTTTAAATTAAATTTGCATACATGGTAATAAATTCATATGTAAACCTTTGGTGCCAAGTAAAAATAGCCTAAGTCTAAAAACATATTTTTGAGCAAAATTACTTTCTAGGATAATATTGCTAGAAAAATTATTATTTCCAGTTCATGTTAGGAAATTTTTGTAGAAATTTACTTAGGCGCTTATAGCTTGTGACCACAGATTTGTAAATAAGTAAAACTAAGTATTTGCATCGCACTACCTTCAGCTTGGTTCATTCATTAGGTTAATTGTTTTAAGTAGTTGGCAATTGTTGATGTGAACCGACAGTCATTATTTTTGCTTTTGTTTTTTACTGCATGCTGTTTTTTTTTTGTTGTTTTTTTATTGAAATCATGATGCATGAGTACTTTGCTTTCTTTGATGGGTATTTTTTGCTTTAAGAACATGAAGCATACAAGTGCTGTCTGGATTATATAATTTTTTTTATTATTACTAGTAGTGTAACTTAAGAATTATTTAATTTTCTTGACAATTTTCTAATAAAATTTTCTCAGAAATTTATTAAAGTTATTTCAAGGTTATAATGTAAAGTAATCTTAAGAATTTTTGCATGTTTCTCATGGGAACATTTTAAATTTGATATTATGAAAGTTTCTTTAGGAATTTATTAAAAAATATTTTAAGGGGTAAAAAATTTGCAAAAGATTTTAAGGAGACTTGTTGTTAGCAAATTAATATATTTTTATACAAAATCTTTTTATAGTAAATTTTTAAAAAAAAATTTTTTAAAATTCTTTTTTTATTAAAAATTTTCGAAAAATTTTCGAGAAATTCTCATTTTGTGAAAAATCCTCTTTTTTTATAGGAAATATCCCTTTTTTCATAGCAATTTTTTCAAAAATTTAAAAAAAAATATTTTTTTTAGAAAATTTGTTTTTTTAGAAGATTAAAAAATCTCCTTTTTTGTAGATCATTTTCGAGAAATTATCTTTTCCTTCGAAAGATTTTTGAAAAATTCTCTTTTTCTTTTTAGAAAAATTCTTTTTTTTTTTTTTTTTTGAAAATTTTCGAAAAGTTATAATTTTTTTTTTTAGAAAATTTCTCTTTTTTTTAAATTTTCGAAAAATTCTCTTTTTTTTAGATAATTTTCGAAAAATTTTGCTTTTTTATAGAAAAATTCTTGTTTTTTTGTAGAAAACTTTCGAAAAATTCTTTTTTTTGAAAATTTTCGAAAAATTCTCATTTTTTTTAGAAAATTTTCGAAAAACTATATTTTTTTAGAAAATTTTCGAAAAATTCCCTTTTTTTAAGAAAATTTTCGAAAAATTCTTGTTTTTTGTAAAAAACTTTCAAAAAATTCTTTTTTTTAGAAAATTTTCGAAAAATTCTCTTTTATTTAGAAATTTTTCGAAAATTTCTCTTTTTTTTAGAAATTTTTCGAAAATTTCTCTTTTTTTAGAAAATGTTCAAAAAATTATTTTTTTTTTTAATTTTCAAAAAATTCTTTTTTTTTTTTATTTTTAAAAAATTCTTTTTTTTTTTAGAAAATTTTCAAAAAATTCTTTTTTTTGCAAAAAATTCTCTTCTTTTTTAGAAAAATTTCTAAAAATTCTCTTTTTTTTTATAAAATTTCAGAAAAATTCTCTTTTTTTTAGACAATTTTCAAAAAATTCTCTTTTTTTAGAAAATTTTCGAAAAATTCTCTTTTTTTTTAGAAAAATTTCGAAAAATTCTCTTTTGTTTAGAAAATTTCAAAAAATTCTCGTTTCTTTTAGACAATTTTCAAAAAATTCTCTTCTTTTAGAAAATTTTCGAAAAATGCTCTTTCTTTAGAAAAATTTTGAAAAATTATCTTATCTTTTTTTAGAAAATTTTCAAAAAATTCTCTTTTTGTTAGAAAATTTTCGAAAAATTCAGTTTTTTTCTTCGAAAATTGTCGAAATATTTCTTTTATATAATTTTTTCAAATGTTTTTATAAGAAAATTTTCGAAAATCCTCCCATGACAAATACGATCAAGAATGCCTTTGTTAGATTTTAATTTGATTTAAACCCCTTTAAGTTAATTCTCTCTATAATTTGCATAATTTTCTAATTCCTTCTAATCAATTGAGACAATAAAACATCTGCTTTAATCATTACAAGTACACTTTATTGAACAAAAAAGCATTTAAGTTTTCTAGTCAGGTTTTTATTGGAAAAACAATTTCAATTGCATTCTCATTTATTCATTCACCTAAGTATTTGCTTTTGTAGTTAAATATTCAATCTAATAATTACACCTGTTATTCAACTTTACTAACTACAACCGTAAGTTACTACAATTTGGCGTTTTTCCTTAAGTAATTTTTATTAGCATTACGTTTAACTGCTCGCTGTAGTAGTGTACACAGTAGCAGTGAATAATAATTTTTTGTTTTAAGTAGATTTTTAAATATTCATAACGGAGAGTGCTTTTTCAATTTTGTATTTTTTTTTTAAAGCTACAAAGTAAAAACTTATAAAATGTTTATAGAAATATTTAATGACTACAGCAGGGAGTAATTGCAGTGAGTAGTAGTCACAGATAATTGTTGTAAAAAACATGTTAGTAATATTTAATTTTTTTAGAATTTTATATGATTACAAAAAGAGGTGAAAACGATTTATTCTGTACATATGTCAAAATAATTAAATTTGTTTAATAGAAAGAAAATAATTGTTATTACTTTAGAATAAAGAAAATGGAAGTCAACAACTTTCAAAAGTTTTGTATTAGAAATGTCTAACGAAAATTATAGGAAATAGTAAAACTGAGGTTTAATAACGAGATTTGATTTAAAGATTTTATTGGAATTTATTACTTACATTTTCATATTTGTTGCTGATTACATTTGAACTTAATCTGTAATAAAATAAGAAAAAAAGTTAATCTAATGTTCTTCAATTTTATCTATTTGTTAAAATTTATTTTTAGTTTTAAACAATTAATTACGAAAGCAATCTTATAAGCCATGAAATACTTTTATATGAATTACACATAAGTTTTAAATAAAGTATCTCGCATAATTGTTGTTTTAAATAATTAATTTTATAGTTGAAATAATTACAATTAAATTCAGACAAAATTAAGTCTGCACGCATTATAAATTAGGGAATCTAATATCTTTGCAGCCGAAAACACAAAACTCAATGGCGTAAAAGTTGAGGCGTAAAATGATTGCTATTGTGTTTAATTCGGTTGGAGTCTTTTCGAAGTTTGTTAAATACAACACAATTTTACACATTGAGGTCTAATAATAGGGGTGATCAGTTAAAGTTTACAGTTATTTGGACTACAGTTATTTTGACTATACTATAGCCTAGAGATAGAATATTGACTACAATATAGACTAGAATATAGACTAGACTATAGACTAGACTACAGACTAGACTTTAGACTAGACTACAGACTAGACTATAGACTAGACTATAGACTAGACTATAGACTAGACTATAGACTAGACTATAGACTAGACTATAGACTAGACTATAGACTAGACTATAGACTAGACTATAGACTAGACTAGACTAGACTATAGACTAGACTATAGACTAGACTAGACTAGACTATAGACTAGACTATAGACTAGACTATAGACTAGACTATAGACTAGACTATAGACTAGACTATAGACTAGACTATAGACTAGACTATAGACTAGACTATAGACTAGACTATAGACTAGACTATAGACTAGACTATAGACTAGACTATAGACTAGACTATAGACTAGACTATAGACTAGACTATAGACTAGACTATAGACTAGACTATAGACTAGACTATAGACTAGACTATAGACTAGACTATAGACTAGACTATAGACTAGACTATAGACTAGACTATAGACTAGACTATAGACTAGACTATAGACTAGACTATAGACTAGACTATAGACTAGACTATAGACTAGACTATAGACTAGACTATAGACTAGACTATAGACTAGACTATAGACTAGACTATAGACTAGACTATAGACTAGACTATAGACTAGACTATAGACTAGACTATAGACTAGACTATAGACTAGACTATAGACTAGACTATAGACTAGACTATAGACTAGACTATAGACTAGACTATAGACTAGACTATAGACTAGACTATAGACTAGACTATAGACTAGACTATAGACTAGACTATAGATTAGACTATAGACTAGACTATAGACTAGACTATAGACTAGACTATAGACTAGACTATAGACTAGACTATAGACTAGACTATAGAATAGACTATAGAATAGACTATAGACTAGACTATAGACTAGACTATAGACTAGACTATAGACTAGACTATAGACTAGACTATAGACTAGACTATAGACTAGACTATAGACTAGACGATAGACTAGGCGATAGACTAGACGATAGACTAGACTATAGACTAGACTATAGACTAGACGATAGACTAGACGATAGACTAGACGATAGACTAGACGATAGACTAGACGATAGCTAGATAGACGATAGACTAGACGATAGACTAGACGATAGACTAGACGATAGACTAGACGATAGACTAGACGATAGACTAGACGATAGACTAGACGATAGACTAGACGATAGACTAGACGATAGACTAGACGATAGACTAGACGATAGACTAGACGATAGACTAGACGATAGACTAGACGATAGACTAGACGATAGACTAGACGATAGACTAGACGATAGACTAGACGATAGACTAGACGATAGACTAGACGATAGACTAGACGATAGACTAGACGATAGACTAGACGATAGACTAGACGATAGACTAGACGATAGACTAGACTAGACGATAGACTAGACGATAGACTAGACGATAGACTAGACGATAGACTAGATGATAGACTAGACGATAGACTAGACGATAGACTAGACGATAGACTAGACGATAGACTAGACGATAGACTAGACGATAGACTAGACGATAGACTAGACGATAGACCAGACGATAGACTAGACGATAGAGTAGAAACTCTTATTTAAAGGAAAAAATTAAAAAAATCTTCTTTTATAGAAAGTTTTCTAGACTAGACGATAGACTAGACGATAGACCAGACGATAGACTAGACGATAGAGTAGAAATTCTTATTTAAAGGAAAAAATTAAAAAATCTTCTTTTATAGAAAGTTTTCGAAAAAAAATCTCTTTTCCAAAAACAATTTTTGTAATAGAAATTTTTTTAAAGATTCTCTTCTATAGAAACATTTTCAAAACATTAAAAAAATGCTACTTTGAATTTTTAATCTTTTATTAGAAAATTGTATTAACATATCTCTTTTATATACAAAATTTAAAAAAATTTTATAGAAAATTCTGAAATTTTATTACTTGTTAATAAGTGCGTGCATACCCCTAATTCTTTACGCCTTTAGCTTTTAAATCTAGTAAAATGATCTCTCTCTCTTTTCTTCTTTGAGCTTAAGATCTTAACATTTATATGCGTAACACTAATAGCTTCAATGGTACTTAGAGCGTAAACTATGAAGAAAATAATTAACTTAAACAAAAACAAAAAACCTTCATACAATACGAATACTAACAATTATTCTCTAATACAGTAAACCAAAACGAAACGGTACGTGGTAATAGAAGATTATTTAAATATTTCAAAACTACGTGCCGCGAATTAATCAGATTAAGTTTTAAATTGTGTTTTCTTACATGGAATTAAGTTAGTTCCCTCTCTAGGTTAATAGGAGAGAACCTACAAAAATCATATGATTTCAAGAATTTTTAACAAAATATTTTCAATTAAATTAAAAACGGCCGTCCACTACAAACTGCTTAATTTAGTTTGCTGTAAAATGTTTTGCCTTTGTGTCAGTTTGTACATTTGTCTATAAGTCTATTTTGTTTAATAAAATATAAAATGTTTGGTGATTGTGTCAGCCCCACCCTCAAGTATGGATATATGACGTCGAGACCTTAATTTGTTGCCATAGTTTTTTTTTTCCAATTTTGTTTAAAAACAAATATTTATATGGACAAGTACAAAAAAAATTTTGAGTTTAATAGGGAAAATGTATACCTTTTCAACATGCAAACCCATGTTTGTAATTAGAAAATAATATAGAATTCTACTGGCTTTCCATGCATATATGTATGTATATATGTTTGAGTTTGAAAGAGGTGGTTCTTTGTTGTCATACCAAACCAGTCTTGGAAAATTGATATTTTGGAAATGGTATTAACTTATACAATAAAGTTTATTAGACTAGACTATATATTTGACTATAGACTAGACTATAGACTATAGAGTAGACTATAGACTAGACTATAGAGTAGACTATAGAGTAGACTATAGAGTAGACTATAGAGTAGACTATAGAGTAGACTATAGACTAGACTATAGACTAGACTATAGACTAGACTATAGACTAGACTATAGACTAGACTATAGACTAGACTATAGACTAGACTATAGACTAGACTATAGACTAGACTATAGACTAGACTATAGACTAGACTATAGACTAGACTATAGACTAGACTATAGACTAGACTATAGACTAGACTATAGACTAGACTATAGACTAGACTATAGACTAGACTATAGACTAGACTATAGACTAGACTATAGACTAGACTAGACTAGACTATAGACTAGACTATAGACTAGACTATAGACTAGACTAGACTATAGACTAGACTATAGACTAGACTATAGACTAGACTATAGACTAGACTATAGACTAGACTATAGACTAGACTAGACTATAGACTAGACTATAGACTAGACTATAGACTAGACTATAGACTAGACTATAGACTAGACTATAGACTAGACTATAGACTAGACTATAGACTAGACTATAGACTAGACTATAGACTAGACTATAGACTAGACTATAGACTAGACTATAGACTAGACTATAGACTAGACTATAGACTAGACTATAGACTAGACTATAGACTAGACTATAGACTAGACTATAGACTAGACTATAGACTAGACTATAGACTAGACTATAGACTAGACTATAGACTAGACTATAGACTAGACTATAGACTAGACTATAGACTAGACTATAGACTAGACTATAGACTAGACTATAGACTAGACTATAGACTAGACTATAGACTAGACTATAGACTAGACTATAGACTAGACTATAGACTAGACTATAGACTAGACTATAGACTAGACTATAGACTAGACTATAGACTAGACTATAGACTAGACTATAGACTAGACTAGACTATAGACTAGACTATAGACTAGACTATAGACTAGACTATAGACTAGACATAGACTACTCTAGACTAGACTATAGACTAGACTATAGACTAGACTATAGACTAGACTATAGACTAGACTATAGTACAACTATAGACTAGACTATAGACTAGACTATAGACTAGACTATAGACTAGACTATAGACTAGACTATAGACTAGACTATGACTAGACTATAGACTAGACTATAGACTAGACTATAGAAAGACTATAGACTAGACTATGACTAGACTATAGACTAGACTATAGACTAGACTATAGACTAGACTATAGACTAGACTATAGACTAGACTATAGACTAGACTATAGACTAGACTATAGACTGACTGAGACTAGACTATAGACTAGACTATAGACTAGACTATAGACTAGACTATAGACTAGACTATCGACTAGACTATCGACTAGACTATAGACTAGACTACGACTAACTATAGACTAGACTATAGACTAGACTATAGACTAGACTATAGGCTAGACTATAGACTAGACTATAGACTAGACTATAGACTAGACTATAGGCTAGACTGTAGACTAGACTGTAGACTAGACTATAGGCTAGACTGTAGACTAGACTATAGGCTAGACTGTAGACTAGACTGTAGACTAGACTATAGGCTAGACTATAG